AGCGATGGAAAGTGGAAACGAATTCCAGGCTAGATTCAGTCCTGTTGCTGTCGTCTATGAATTTACCTGGCGGGGAACTGGTGAGTGTAGTCCACGCAGAGCAGTGCCAGAGTCCTGGCTGCTTCTGCTTCCATGGCACAAGCTGAGGCGCTGGGGAGCTCTGGAGCCCTTCCCACAGTTAGCACGAGGGTAGTGTTGGGTTTTGTGGGTGGGTCTGTAGTGCTCCGATATCTTTAACTTTCGGTGTTATTTGGACGTAAACACTTCAGTGATCTAAAGGTGTGCTAGTCTGCCTGATTTTCTTTTGGTGACCAGGTTGCATTTTGCATGGCATCCTAACATCCCCCCGCAATGTAGGTATTGACTGATGTTTTCTCATTCTGAGCTACACGTAACTTTTCTTGCATTGTGCATTTCAGAGAAGGAGATCAGCAGAAGATGAGCTTGCAATGAGGGACTATCTGCAGGAAGGGGACCTCATCAGTGTATCCTTCCACTGCTTGCACCCAGGCAGAAGAGCCAAGGGGCATGGGGAGATCAGCCAGACCTCGGCTAGCCTGGCTGGTAGTGAGAGCTCTCTGCTGGGGGCAGCCAGCGGCTGTTGGCGCTGGGCAGCATTAGGGACCTTGTCTCCTTAAGTGGCACTGACAGGCAGAGGTCCAGTCTGTCTTTTCTGATGGGGCTGTATCACTGCATACCCGGAGTCTGAAATACGGGAAGGTAAGTTGTTCGAAAGCACTCGGTCTTGGCCTAGTTCTGCTCCAGTTGACTTGTATAAGGCTTTTTGGAGGGATTTTTAAGAAAAAAGCTCTGAAGTAGAGCAGGATGTTGTTATAACCCATTCCTGCAGGTTAGGAGGAATGTTGGCTCCTACGTGGGAGCACTGAGCAGAGTTTCCCCAAAGCAGAGGGAGTGCTCTTGAGTTGCCCTTTGAGCTGCTGCTCTCCCTGTCCACAATTACAGCCTGTGAGTCCTGTTTCCCCCACTAGCCGCTTGGGAATTGAACCCTGGGGAGAAAAATCTTCTGACTCCAACTTCATCACTACTCCTCTGCAGGCCATTGCCCCTGTGACTTGTTTCTCTCTCCAGGGCTCTATTTTAGGCTTTACATAGTTGGCATTTATCTCTGGTTTTGTGCACTGAAAGAAGCCAAGGGGCCGTTGGAGCGTGTGCTGCAGTTTGGGGTTACCAGACCAAAGGTATTAGCAGTTAAAAGATGAAGGCAACACGTGCTTATTGCACAAAGGGTAAAGGACAGCGACTGGATTAAGAGGGAAAGTGTTCTGCTAAATTGAGCATCTCACATCTCATTTTTCTGCAGGGGTGGTTGATGCGTAGTTATGATCAAGATATTATTAACATTTGTGCTAAGCACTTAGAGTATTCTTCATCTTCAAAGGTCTGCACAGGCATTAGCTAATCCTCCCAGCACTCCCAGAGGCAGGCAGGTTTTATATTCATTGTTTCACAGGAAAAGGTGTTAAAATTTTAGACCAGGAGCGGAGTGCATGTCGGTGACTTGATGTTATCTACAGTGGCTCATGTCTCTCATGCTGAGTCTCGTGGTCTCCTCTTCAGCTTGGCCAGGGTGTGCTCGTTCAGGTCTCACCCTCCCTTGTGAAACGCCAGAAGACTCACTTCCACGACTTGCCCTGTGGTGCATCTGTGATCCTCGGCAACAATGGTTTCATCTGGATCTACCCAACGCCGGAGCAGAAGGATGAAGAGGCAGGGGGCTTTACCACCAGCTTGGAGGTGAGGGTTCAGGGAAGATGAACCTTCTGTACCAACAATGTTTTGTTAGTCTAATGTAGTCAGAGGCACATGAATAACCCGAGACTTTCAAGATTTTGGTATTAGGTTCACGGCAAAGCTTTTTTACAGTAGTCTTGCATTATTTCCCTGTGTACTCATCTCTTTTTCCTCTGTCCTTCCTCAGCCGGTTCCCTTGTCTGACCGGGAGGTGATCTCACGGCTCCGAAACTGCATTGTGGCTCTGGTTACTCAGACGTTCATGCTCTTTGACACCAGCATCCTGTATTGCTATGAAGCATCCCTTCCTCATCAGGTACAGAAACCAGTGTTGTTTACTTTATGCCACACTGTGGGGAGGGAATGGAAAGGCCGCATCAGTTGCTGCTGAAGTCAGTAAGTTAGGTGGTAGGCCTTCCTTTTGACATTCCAAAGGATCCCGTAGTAAGTGACAATATGAACTTCCCCCCTCCTGCATAACATAAATCCCCTTGCACATTTTCAGGGACCGTTTGAAGGGTTCTGCCTCTGGCAAAGTCCAACTATTCCTGTAGAGAAATAGTTCCATTTTTTGATAGATGTGTATCCCTTGCTGGGATTATGGACCCTCTGTGATCCCTGTGAAAATAGTGTTAAATTTGGGATTGTATGAGGGTAAGGTGCACTTTAAGAACAAATGAAAAAGCAAGTGTCATGTATTGTACAGAGACCGGTCTTCTGTTTTTATCCACGTCCTGCACTGCTGGAAGGCTCCCTCAATTTGACCTCTTGCTGTACAGCTTTTCTCTGTGATTTCTGCCAGCATGATCGCTGGCAATTCTCTTCTCATAAATGGATAAGATCTGAATTGTGTTCTCCTTTCATTCACAGTGGCAGCCTACTCAGCTAGGTGGGATGTTCTTTTGAACTATACTTCTGTCTAAGTCATCTCTCCCCTTCCCAAATACTGGTGTGTGTCCTTCAGGAAAGATTAGGAGTTGTCAGTAGCATCTCCTTTGATTTCTTATGATCTCTGTAAGAATTGCTAGCTCTGGCAAAGTTGACTTTGCCTTGGACCCTCTGCCATGATAGTCTTGTTTGACCACAACCCCCTAAACTTGCTTGCTGCTCATTGATGTGTGCCAGGGACCCTTGTCCCCACAGTGTGCAATAGTAGTAGTTGCTTTTTGGTGCCAATGTTACTCTTCTTTCCACTCCAGATCAAGGACATTCTCAAACCAGAGGTGATGGAGGAGATCGTTCTGGAAACCCGACGGAGGTTGCTGGATCTGGAGGGATAGGGCACGTGGCCAGAAGCAGTCATTTGAAGTCCCAGCATGGCAGCTTTTGATTCTCATTTTTCTGTCTGTTTGTTTTTTTTTTTTTTCCCAGTGTTGTAGTCCCCAACATTCATTCCACACTTCAGAAACCACCAAAATTCCTCATTTTAACTCCTAGGATACCTCCTGAGCTCTTTTAGTACAATAGTACTTAGGTACAATAGCCTTTTAGTGCAGCAGCCAGAAAAATTGGTATCTGACCTTTATGAAGATGCAGATGCAACTGGGACATACCTCATAGCACTTGTTGCTGTGTCTAGTGCCCCAGAACTGTGTGCAGAATGGTAGAGAGGAAGGGATGTGTTTTGTGATGTTTCTCTCTCCCCAAAGGCTTTCTAAATGGTTTTGATTTTCCTTTACTGTGATACAGATCTACCAGTCTGTGCTCTGACTGAGAGCTATTGTTTTTCTCTTTAAGACTGTAGATCACAGGTACAAGTCTTTAGAGGACAGGAGTATCCACACCCTCGCTAACCACATTTTGGGTCTGGCTGTTCACGGCTTCTGCCTCTCAAGGGTATGAGATTGGATGTGGCATGATGTGGCTGTCCACGTGAGCCAGGAGCCATGGGCGAGCAGCGCCTTCTCAGTCTGTGTGCATCCTGCTGGTCCCTTTTTTATGCCTGATGTGGTGAGCTCCTCCTCTGAGGAGGCTCCAGTGTTGTTTTCTATTAAATATTTTACATTTCAATAAATTTTTTGAAATAGATCAGTCATTCAGGAGTGTGTGCATTAGCTTATCTTTCTCCAGAATGAATTGGGTCTAGCTTGAGAGCTATGGTTGGCTCAAGTTTCCTTGTGCCAGGGCACACGGGATGGTTGCAGTGTCCTGTTACCTCCTCTTCCAACTGTTGCTCCTCATCCCGTTACAGCAGGACTTGACCTTCCTCTTCAGCATATCTTCTGTGCAGAGTTCCTCTGTAAGTAGGTTGCCTGGCATTGTTCACAGTGGCTCTCTCAACATTGCTTCCCTGCAGGATCCCATGGACAGGTGAGTCAGCAGCAGCTGTGTCTGGGGGATGACAGGGAGCCCAGCGTGACACCGGTGAAGGTCTTCAGGCCAGTGGTTAGAGGTGGGCATGCTGAGCCAGACGTTGGCAGTCACTTGCCGTCTCTGTACAGAATGGATGTGATGCTTTCCTTAGAACACCCTCTCAGATCTCTGGTGCTATATTAGAGTCATTTGTATTATATATGTATTGTGTATATATATTGTATTTGTATTGTTCTAGAGCTGCTTGCACCACAGTGCTGTAATTCTTAAAAAGGATGAAAAAGCAAAATGTCTGCCTTAATTGTCCCTGAATTGAATTCTGACGTTGCAAATTATTATGCTTGCCCCAGGCAAAAGGCAAAATTCTTTGCTCGATCTTTTCCTGGGAACTAGAAATACCCTTCGTTGCTTTTCATCTAGTTCAGACTGCTCTGCCTGCAGTCCAAGTCAGCACTAGGTGGCAGCTTTGGATTGTGTTTGTAGTATTTATCTTCCCCAGCAGCTGTGCCTCGTGCCCTGCCAAACAGAAAGGCTGGATGTCTGCCACCAGCGCTGCTGCCTAAATACTAGAGCACTATAGAGCTCAGTGGCTAAGGACAAGCAAGGACATGGTTAATCCATTCTGCTGCTGCGCAACTCAAACTTCTGCCCGTGCTGCCTCTGTAATATAGTACTTAACTTCTTGGGGATATTGGTGGAATGCTCCACACGAGACCCGGGAATTGTTATTTTTGAGTTTTATGAGGATTCCCTAATAAGTTTTGCAACAATCACATCCTCAAGATGACTTGGGAAATTTGAAAACTAAAGCTTGATGGTGACACTTTCAGGTCTGTGCGTGAGGCTGGGAGCAGCATTATCCACATCTGTGTGGACAGAAACAGTGCAAAAAGGCCAAAAGCTTTAGCAGCCTCTGCGTCTTTCAATTAGAAAAGTACCTCTCTTTTCCCTACCCAATTGCTGTAGTTCAGCAGCTGTTTATCATATTACCATATGGGGAGATTCGGGGATTTTTGCTGTGAGGCTTCTAGGTATAAGCAGATTGGGGATATACAAGCAATGAGATAAAGTATCTGATGTTCCCTTTTTTTAAAGTATTTTTGAAGGCTGAGGGAGAGGTCTGTATTTAATCCAGCAGATCTCTTTGCATCTCTGCCACTTAAATTTAAACAACTCTGTGTCAGTTAAAGGGCAAAGGGGTGAAGAGAGATTCGATACCTGGAAATGGTTCTGCTGAACTGGTACACGAATGCAAAATGCTTCTCTGTCCTCAAGCAGCCTCTCTGCAGGCATCTAACGGGTCAGAAAGGGGTTGGGGGGCTATGGGGCTCTTGAAAGCGCTGTCGGTAACGTGGTGGAAACGTGCTGAGGAAGTGTGCTCTGGAGGTGGTTAATTTAGAGTTGGATCGTGTTCATGGGTACCAAGCATGAGCTGTCAGACCTGCAAGGTGAGACAGTGCCAGGTTCTCATAACACAGATCTTAGGAAAAGTGTGCTGGTGTCTCTGCAGCAGGCTGTGTGGGCTGCACAGCTGAGTTATCTTTCTTTTTTTTTCTTTTTCATCTCCTTTTTTTTTTCCCTCTACGTAGCAGTCTTTAAAACTGTAGTCTATTTCCAGGCTTCTTATGCTAGCCCTCTCTCCCCATTGTGAACATTTTTTGGTTGTTTATGCTCAATAAATGAGTATACAACCTGAAAAACAATGAGCTCAAGATCACTGCTTCAGCTCTGAGCGTTCCGATTCCTCCTGCTCACCGCAGCACTCCTGGTATTTTTGCCTTGGGGATGTATTAAATGGGGGAGAGTATGTGACTCATCCAGTTCCCATGCTCCCGAATACCTGGCACTCTTGGTTTTATGCCCGAGAACAAGTGCACCAGCTGGTGAGGTTTGTGGTTTTGTTGTGTGTGTTTTGGTGGGGGGGGGGGGGGGGAACTGAAGGTCCCGGTATTTTCCTCCCGGGCCACGAGGGGTCATTGCCGTTCTTTGCAAATTCAGCCAGGGCTTTGCCAAGCCCAGACCTAAATTCTGTAACAAGGCTTCAGCGAGGGCGTTGCTGGCAGTTCTGCAACCCCATCAAGCACAGCTTTGCAAGCCAGCAGGTAACGAGAGATGAGAGTGACCAACTTGCGTGGGGAGGGAGAAGCTTCCTGAGCAGTTCCAAAGGTGTCTTAAGACAGGTACCAGGCCAGCTGCCATTTACTGTTGATTTGGCTGAATCTCTTGTGACTTTTCGCTCTCTTGACGAATGCCGAAGGCCACCAGTACTTATCCATCTGGAAAGCAACTGGACGTGCTGCTGGGGCTCACGGTTCCCATATGGAGAGGCGTCAAGTATCACTGTTCAGTCATGACCCACAATATGGCAAATGGCTTTTCCCCAGTGCGCAGCAGAGATGAGCGAGGAGTCAGATGGGGTCTGGGGGAGGCTCTGGCATCTCGGGTAGGTGGGGGAGCCGGGGCCCCTTTTTCCATAGGCAGGTCTGCATAGGAGTATGGGCAGGCCATATAAAAAATGCCTTTGAAATGGGAAGTGCTCGAGATGTAAAGGAGAACTCCAGCAAAAGCAGTGTTCTCTGGAATTCTTGAAATAGTCTGTGGGATTTTGCTATGCAACTTCTAAGCAGGAAGGGTGAAAAGGAAGAAACTGGCTTCTCTGGTTTAAGAACAAAATCACAGTTGAAAATGAGGTGGGAAAAACCCAGTAAGTATTCGTTTTTATATAGGGAACTAAAATGCCCGTGCAGGCATTAAAACAGCTGAGACCAATCTCATTTCTTTGGTCACCAGTGTCTGACGGCGTGGAGCCTGTTTGTAAACCAGCTGTAGCACCTGCCTGTGCTGCTTACTCCGGGGTTAATACATGGCACAGACGTGCTTGTAAGAGGAGCTAGTAAATAGTTCCCTTGCTGGTGAGTGCTGCCTGCAGAAACACGAACACAAAATCACCTGTCTGTAGAAGTAATTTTCCTGTTTCTTGGTGGCAGTGTTTGATTTGTGTACTAATATGAAGAATGGCAACCCCTCCCTTTACTCCCAGTAATAACCATTGGGATTTTAAATTCGTGCTAATGGGTTATTAATCCAATTACTGCTGCTTATTACGTTACTTCTGTATCATCCGCATGCAGTTTGCTGTTCAGTTGAGGTGAATGGTATAAATACAAAGCTTTGAGCAGACCCTAGAAGATACTGAAACCCCACTGAGATTATAGGCAGTCTTGAAATGGTTGTCTCAGGTTCCTGAGGACCGCTAATTAATATGCTAAGGTTTATTATTTGGTAAAGAGGTTGAAGCTTTAAGATATTGCTATGGAGGAAACATCACTGCAGCTGTTGGGTGAACAACCCACAATTAATTGAAGGTAAACAGAAAAAGTACTGAAATTTCTTTTGTGAAATATATGGGATGTACACAGGCCACATGCAAGGCTCGATTGAAAGAAACAGTCTGTAGATTTTTAAAATTTATTCTGCATTCACACGATCTTTCTGTTTTCTGTCTTCTCTAATAATTTCTGAACCCACTGGGCAACTTCAAGTTTGTTAACATGAGACAATCATGTTCACAAAAACTGGCAGCAGGGTAGGGGACAGAAAATATACACTTCAGGAAGGAAAAGAGGGCAGATACCTTGCTATGATATTTGGGAGTGACCAGCTGGCCCATCTGCCTGTGTATAGCCCCAGATTAACTACAGTGCTGCTTTGGGAAACGGGAAATGCTTTTGGAGCAACTGCCAAGTGGAAAGAGATTGGGGACTGCTGGCAAAGAACCTGCCCCACTTTGCTGCTTATGACTGCAAAGCATCAGAAGGAATACCTGACTGTTGACCTGAATGATAAATTCACCTAGTCTGTTAAATAAAAAGTAAGTACGTTCATCTGCATAGATCTCAGGTGAGGCAGGGAGAAGCCTGTATTGCCCAGAACACAAGTCCTGCTGATTTGCAATTACCTTTGCATAATTTGGTCAAGGTCACCTGAGTATCACGGACCTGTGGTAGTCTTCTGGACTTCACTCTGCTTCAGTCCTGCCATGGTAGGAGAGATTATCCAGGATGCTCCAGTCAGACCCAGAAGGGAATAACTTGTTCAGTAAAGGATGGTTGGTATTGATTTTTGTAATAAATTTCTCTCAGGCTGCTTGGCCTGTGTTGACAGACAGCTTTGCTTCCTCAGTTTCCTTCAATCCATGGGAGCTGAGCAGGGGGTTAGATCACTGCAGTGAGAAGCTGACCTCCGTTACTGAGACAAACCTGGAGAAATTCTGCTGAGTTCAAGACATGTGACCCTGGATTTGTCTCAGCATAATGTACCAGAATTTCTCTCTCCTGCGTGTGTGTAGCACAAACAGCCTCGGTACCTGCAATTTGAGTCACTGATGGAGAAATGCAATAGAAGTGGTTTGGGATCTGTCTCTTGGCTAAGAATTAGTGATATAGGAGCAGCCTGGCACAGCAGAGGTGGAAGATCCCGTAGGGCTGTATGAAGTGTTACATTTCAGATGCTGTTGTTGGAAGATGAAAAATACACGTCTGCCAGGGACCTTGAATATGGCGTAGGAGACATGGAGTATGTTTGGATTTGTCACAAGGGAGGAGTCAGTACAAACAAGCCGCTCTGTGTCCAGATGGTTACCCAGAGCGGGAGGCTACTGCACAAAATTGCATTTGTGTGTTCTCCCGTTGTCGAGTGGGAGCAACCACAGACCTTTGACCAAAACACCGTGACCTCAAGCTGCTGCCTCAACCCTCTTCTGTTCCCAAGGTGGACTGGAGAACATACGAG